CACATATTTTTGAATTTCTCCGCTATGTGCAGGCTTCGCGATGTTTTCCTTCACCGTAAGAACGTCGGGTAAATTATGTACATATGAAAATTCGAAAATTCGAAAATCACATTGGTACGGCGAGATTCGAACCCAAGACCTGTAGATTACAAGTCAAGTGTTTAAACCACTAAGCCACCGACGCTCTCCCCTATTTAGCCTCCTTCTCACAAGTATTAAAAAAAGAAGATCGGAGAAAACTATTGTGAGTGAAACTGATGCTAGAACAGTACATAATTCTTTTTTGTCTCTCTCACACAATCCATCCATACTTTCTTCGGTCTTTCTCTACCTTTGTACAGACTAAAAAACTACTAAAACCAATTTTTCACACTACACATTAAAATCAGTTAATATTTGATTGTCTGTATGCAGAATATAGAAAACAAAATATTTCTCGAAGTGTAATCGCGGTGTTAATAGTGAAATTTAAAATATTTACTTTTGTCTATTTCTCTACAAGTTTGTTCTGAGTAATCTCCGGAACTCGTGGACTGATTATAACAGGACTTTGAAGGGGCCTACGTTCCGTTAGCGCGGGTATAGTAGGGAATATTATAGGTTATATCCGCGCTGACGCAGGCGAATGTTATTTTAGTTAGATTTTTCATTGTAACAGCGACGGGAGAGCCTGCGCTGGTGCTGGCGGTGAGCGTGACGCTGGCTCTGCACGAGGCCCTGCTGGAAGGCAGGAAGGAGTTCGGATATGTTGACAAAGAATGGCTGCATGTCGGTAAGATAAAATAAAATAACATTTGATCCTTAGCAACACAACACAATCAGAAATAATAAGAGAGAAACAAATATAAACTAACGTAGTAACTATGTAGGGAAAAAATGGTAATAACTAAATAAAAGAATATAATAAAATATTGTGATGTCGATCGGATTGGGTCCACGCTCAGCTTTGAATGCTGGGTGGTACTCAATGAGGCACCCAGCGCTGATCTTCCGCGAGAACCTTGGAATCATCCGCATGGCAGTAGCTGCGGTGGATAGGCAGAAATTATAAATGTTTTTTTTTTTTAATTATAGATATTGTTTTGCACAAAAATAAGTTGGAATATATTTATTTTTATTTTCCCTAAATTTGAAATTGTATTTTTAGGTTATGAGTACTGATTTACTTTCTTTTACAGATACGCCTTACACCATCGAAAATATAATAAAAGCGATTTCACCCAAAATTGAAAGCTTTAAACTTCAATAAAAATGAGTATAACCTCAAATATCATGATTTAATATTTTTTTAACTGTAAATTTTATATTTACATTACATTTAAAATTTTAATTAAAATGTTTACTTGATTAATCAATTTGTTTTATTTTTCATCACACTTACCCTGACCTAAGATTTTTAAATACAGACTAGGCATAAACTTTTTTAACTGGTATTTTTTATGGTACTATATCAATTGTAAATTTTACTGCAAAATTGTGTCGTATTGACATTATAATGAAACATTTTACAATTATAAGATGTATCTTTTGTATTAAAAAAACTAGTGTTAAAAATTACAATTTGAATATTTAAATATTATTTAATGACAATTTACATCGAGCGTAAATAAAATATAAAAAATATTTCAAGTGAAATGTCAACTATGCCTACTCTACATTTTTTTTAATCTTTGATTTAAAAAAAGTACTAGGACGATAGAAACAGCCATATCTGCTGTAGTTTATTAAAATAAAAAACAAACAATTATAACCAATTTATTTATTAACATTTTATTAATCAATTATGTTGAGAGAAGTATTGTGGCCAGTGCTCGGAGTGCGGGTAGTCGCAGTGAGGCATTCGTCATTCCATGCCGGGCGGCAGCGGCTCTATGGGGTTGCCAGCTATAGGCTCCTGGAAACAAATAAAAAAAAACAATAAAAAAAATACATTGTTATAAATTTCGATACGAATGACTTTTTAAAAAATATGACAGTCGAGCGGTATTATGAGCAATACTGGTGAATTATTTTAAAACGAATACACTAAAGCATTGTGACGACTAAAAATGTACTAAGCTACTGAGCGACTGAAATACTGAGGGCCAGAGAGCTTGTTAAAGACTGAGCGACTGAGTGCAACTGAGAGCTGCCTCACTCCTTGCAAAATCTTTTATGAAGCTGTCTCAAGTTAGTTTTACCTCAAAGAGGTTGCGTTAAAGTGACCATAACTCAAGGTAGTTTTGTCTCGAAGTGACTGTCTCAAGGTAGTTTTGCCTCCAAGTGACTGATTCAAGGTAGTTTTACCTGAAAGTGACTGTCTCAAGGTAGTTTTGCCCCCAAGTGACTGATTCAAGGTAGTTTTACCTCAAAGTGACTGTCTCAAGGTAGTTTTGCCTCGAAACAACTATACCTCAAGGTAGTTTTACCTCAAAGCAACTATACCTCAAGGTAGTTTTACCTCAAAGCGAATATACCTCAAGGTAGTTTTACCTCGAAGCGAAGATACCTCAAGGTAGTTTTGCCTCGAAGCGAATATACCTCAAGGTAGCTTTGCCTCGAAATGACTATACATTAGGGTAGTTTTGCGTGTAGACAGTAGGTACCATGGCGAGCTGGTGCAGCGGCGCGGGCAGCGCGGCGAGCGCGGCGGGCGGCAGCGCGGCCAGCAGCGGCGCCACGCCCGCGCTGCCCAGCGCCTGCAGCCGCAAGCAGCACTTCACCCACCCCTCCCATGCCACTTTGTGACACCACACCTGCAAAATAAACGGGATTTATTTTGCAGTAGATATCAGCTACATTTATTTATTTACTAGCTTCCGCCCGCGAACCGTCCGCGTGGAACTAAAAAAACAAAAGTGAATAACCTATTTGTTCTTCCAAACTATCCTCTACATTTGTACCAAATTACACCGAGGTTCGTTCAGCAGTTTAGGCTACACTCTAACAAACATCCACCCATCTAAACTTTCGCATTTATAATATTAGTAAGATTTATTTAACACTATTTGCATAAAAATGACAATAAGTTTACTTAAATTAACATTTACTGCATGAATATGACAACTGGAATACATTTCTTGTATACTCTGATGTCTAATTTATATCAATTTCCCATGTTTTTCTATAAGGAAAGGGAAAGTCGTTTTATCTGAAATAATTAGTTTTTAAGTGTCTTTGTTTGGGTCCAAAAAAATTAAACCAGTCTCCAATCAGTAGGTGTTAAAAATACTTTCAATTCGCTAGTCCAGTTCAACTCTGATTTCAAAGCCAAAGTATTGACGAAAAAACATGTATGATGCAGTTCTAATGTAAAATAATCCCAAAATTCCGGATCCAAGAGCAACAAGAATTGAGTATTTTCCCTTAAGAATTCGACTTCTCGTACTAGGCCTTGACATTATTGATATCTAAGTATAAATGAAGGTGCAATGTGGACCTCCTTGTCAATGAGCAGGCTGAGGATGTGCGTGGCGAGCGCGGCCAGCGCGGGGTGCAGCGTGAGCGCCTGCAGCACGCTGCGCATCATCAGCACCGGGATCTCGCGCTCCTCCGCCAGCCGCTGCAGCACCGCCGACACCACCTGCTCACCTTTACAGATTAGCTAACATTTACAGACTAGTTGAAGCTATGTTTACATATTTGTTGAAGATATATTCACAGACTTGTTGAATTGTTCACATAGTTGAAGATATATTTACAGACTAGTCGAAGGAATATTTACATATTCGTTGAAGATATATTTACAAACTAGTTGAAAGTATCTTTACATTTTATTGTTGATATATTTACAGACTAGTTGAAGGTATATTTACTGGATTATTGAAGGTATTTTTACGGACTAGTTGAAGGTTGACACAATTACAGATTAGAAAAAAATCCTTATGAGTAAAATATGGGAATGGGAGGGGATTTATCAGGGAAGGGACTTTTGCATTAACTTACGTCTTGCGTGTACGTGTTTTTCTCAGCGAAGCAAATGGCTGTCGCTTTGATGATGTATTTGAGGTCGGCTTTACTCGGGTCTATAAGGTGCAATTCCACTAAAAGATCCTGAGGCGAAACTGAAAATATAACACATACGTGAATTATTTTTTTTTGGTAACAGATGTGCCATAACGATATTTTAGTAACAAAAGGTTTTTTTGTAAAACTGATCATAAGATGATGTGAAATTTACTAAAATTATTGTGTAAAATGTACTTACAAATTATTACGTCTGTAAAAATAAAATCAATTTTAAATGTATAAAGAAAAAGAAAATTTAAAATCTAGACTAGATTAAAATGATGTTTACTATGTTATTAGAAAATATCTCGAGTCACATTATTATTATAAAAACACTCAAAAAAACATTGCTTTTTTTTAATGAGAAACATGTTTTTTACGAATGTTTCCTGTAATTTCTATTTACCTGGTGGTTCTTCGTCAGGAGAGTTCTGAAGTCCCAGCAGTTTGTTGAACACTTCCCTAACCACGGCCGGGTTCAATTTTATCAGCTTCGGTAGAGCCGCTAAAATCTAAAATAAACGACATTAATTAATAAATTATATTTGATTACGAATTTTATCGTGAAACTCAGTGCCTATGGTAGAAATTTACGAATTGTATATTATAGCTATTCCGGTGCATTATAAAAACTTTATTTTTTATTTAACTTGATTGATTAGATTCCTCAAAACTTTTATTTTACTTAAATAACAACGAAAACCTTTGTCATTGGCTAACATTTCCCATAGCTATCTTGCTACTTTGCTTGTAGTTTTTGTCCCTTTCTCGCAGAGCATTTTTTCCAATTCAGTCACTCCCAAAGCTTAATAGTATGAAAATATATAGCCTATAGCCTGTCGTAACTCTAAGACTATTTATTATAAAAATAATTATTCAAAAACCTATTATAATTGCTGATATCCTACACAACAAATAAGTATGTTTACCTCTTTTTTAGTGAGTCCCGTGAGTACGGGTATCAGGAAACGTACGTCGGAGACGCGAGTCGCGTACAATTCCCGCACCTTCGACACCAGCTCCGGTGTGGGGGGTGCTAAAAAGTAATAGAAGTTATTGAGGACTCTATCACTATTTTTTTTTAATAATAAGAATAGTATTAGTAGATTGAATACTAGGAATTTACAGCAAGACTCAATTAGTGGCAATTCAACATCTAATATCGTTACCTAAAAGAATCTTATGGCAGTTTTTGAGTGAAGGGTTACTTTGTAGAGTTGCCAGTAAGAATAAAAATCCCAACTTTCAAAATTATTCCATAACGGAAACGAAGCCAAACTATAAGCTAATTCAAAGTCGAATTTCGTTATTATAATAATGCATAAACCCGTGCAGTTACCGCTCTCTCATTGGTCAAAACACTTTTATGACATAGTTAGTTAACAAAATTGCAATTGCCATATGAATCTTGTAAGTCTAGGTTGTAGGTATAAAAAGTGCTTGTTTAAAGTAGATATTTTACTTACTTTTCTCAGTAAGTATATGTACGAGCCTGGTGAGGAGAGTCTCTGCGCCGCGAGGACACTCGTCAAGTAATAGACTGAAGGCGGG